TTATATAATTTTTTAAATATATACACAGTTTTTAGTTTGATATTCATATAATCTATGAGGAAATAAGCACATGGTAAAACGTAGACAATATTTAGAAGGTATCACTATGAATATATCAATATCATAAAAGATGATTTGGTAGGATCTCTTCCATTTATTAAAAAATAGTTCCCAAAGCATTAATTATCCAGAAAGTTAAAAAAGAATTATAAGAATTATAAAGATCAGCACTATTAAACACACTGTTCATTGTTTGGTGTTATTATTGGTTTTAGGGACTATTGGTTGGCAATCACTTTAACATTACAATTTTGTGGGTTTTGTGGAATTAGGGATACAGGCAGTGACAGGCTTATATAAACACCTGATTTAAAAAAAAAAAAAATTTAAGGCATGATATAAAAAGTCATAGCATATTCTATTCAACTAGAATATAAGGTTTACCCGGGAAGGGGTGGGGTCGGGGGAAGTACCATGTAATTTCTTAGGGAGCAGAAAAATTGGTGGCAAAAATCGAAGTTGTTTAGTGTGGTAGTGTTTCTCAAGCTCTAGAGCTGGGGTGGGGAACCTTTTTTTCTGCCAAGATTTATAATATTATTCATGGGCCATACAAAATTATCAACTTAGAAAGTCAAGGAGTCTTGGTGTGGCACTATGGGTTAATGTACTAGACTGCAAGGTCAGTTTGAACTACAAGGTTGGTGGTTCAAGCTCACCAGCCTCCGCTCCTTGGAAACCCTGTTCAAGGTCACTATGAGTCAGAATTGACTCGAAGGCACTTAATAACAACAGATCCGGTCACATACTTAATTAATTCACCCCCAGTGTGATGGCTACAACTGCGGTTGCCTCAGCAGAGCCAGACCAAATGATTTTGTGGGCCTTATATGGCGGAAGGAGTCCTGGTGTGGTGCTGTGGGTTAATGCGCACCAGACTGCAAAGCCGTTTGAACTGCAAGGTTGGCAGTTCAAGCTCACCAGCTGCTCCTTGGAAACCCTATACAGGGTCGCTGTGGGTCGCAACCGACTCGACGGCACTTCACAACAACAGCATATGGCACAAGGGCCAGACATTCCCACCCCTGCTCCTAGAGTAAGGCAACTTGGGTTTGAGTTTCAGTTTATTACTGCTAGTTGTTTAGCTTTGGAGAAGTTAGTTAAAATATGTATGCTTCAGTTTTCTCAAAAACTGTATCTGTAAAACAAAAGTATCTGCTGCTTCTATTCATTCCATCAATATTTGTTGAGTGTTTACAAGCACTTTTCTAGACACCTAGAATACTGCCTGAAGGTAGGGAGGAGTAGGCAGAAGTCACTGCCCTTGTATGTTCATAGGGGCTAGACAGTAAGTAATGTCAGTTACACTTGTGAGTAGGTTAGACAGTGATAAGAGCTAAGGAGAGGAAGGGCAGTGTACAGTGTTGTAGTAGAGAATAAGGTTGGCATATTAGTTAGAGAAACCTTAATGCAGTACGGCTGTCTCTGGTGAGGACTAAATAAGCTAATGCATGTCAAGCACTTAGCAGAGTGTCTGGCACGTAATTAGGTCTCAGTAAGAATGAAACAGCTATTATTATGTATGGAGTTCCTGGGTGGCTCAGCTACTAACCACAAAGTTGACAGTTCAAATCCATCTAGATAGAAGCACCCTGGAAGAAGATATCACATCCATTTAAAACCATATGGAGCACAGTTCTGAAACACGTGGAGTAACCGTGAACTGTTATATGCTGGTTGGATATTTATTTGTTTTATTATTGTATATATGACTATGAAGGAAAAACGCAAGTCATTTGAGTTAACAGTAACCAAAGAGAGTTGAAGATTATATCTCATGAAAGCAAAGTTAGTCTGTATCCATGGTAGCCATATCCAGAGACTGGTTGTTTTTTATTCACTGCATATCAGAATATGAACTCTCTTCAAGAATTAAGTGTTCTGAGCTACTCATCAAAACTTGTACCGTTAAATCATCAAATGTGGTTTTGTTTTTTTTATTTTTAGGTTTTAGGTTCACATTGAACACTAGCTGATCTGTGCTGTTTGGGCTAGTTTTAAGTTAAATGACTCACAACAATATCAGATACCTTACACTTGTGACTTTGTGTTTGGTCTTAAAATTGACTAATGTATGTTTATCCTGTAAAGATACATCTGAATCATGAAAACTTACAGTTTTGAGCTCTCAGTTAAAGCACCATGGAGCTTAAAACTGAAAACCTTTTATTACTTCCAAAGAATGGAATACATTTAGATTGATACTATTTAGTACTTAAAATAAGGTAAATGACCGTTTTCTGCTTTATGTTTTTCAGTGTGTTGGCATGCATCAGTCCTGAAGCTGTGATCTCTGGACTAAACTGCATGTCGTTTGCTAATGTTGGCATGAGTGGTTTAAGCCCCAGCGGTGTGGATCTGAGCATGGAGGCAAATGCTATAGCTCTGAAGTATCTAAATGAAAATCAACTGTCACAGCTGTCTCTCACTCGATCAAAACAAAGTAACAGTGACTCATCTTTTAGCCTTTTACATATTAACACAGACAAAAGCACAGTGGGACTTAGTTTAATTTCACCAAGCAACATGTCATTTGCCACCAAAAAATATATGAAGAGATACGGACTCATACAAAGCAGTGACAATAGTGAGGATGAAGAAGAGTCTTTGAACAATACAGATAACAAGAGTGAACATTTATCAAATCAGAACCTTACATCTTTACCTAAACAACTTGTTTGTCAGAAAGAACCTCCGAAGAATGCCTGTGAAGTAATCACTTGTTATAGCTCTGAATCTGCAGACACGCACCCAGATACACCAGTACTGAGAAATATTACAAATGAAGTGGCCCCACCAAAGGCAACACAGCAGATGCATGAAAACCCGGTTTTCTTATTAAAGAACTTTAAACCAAGTCCTGCAGTGAACCTTCGAACTGGTAAAGCAGAGTTTACCCAGCATCCTGAGAAAGAAAATAAAAAGGACACTCCAATTTTTCCTGAAAGCTTGCAACCTTCTGAAACTTTCAGGCAGATGAATAGCATGAATTCCGTCGGTACATTCTTAGATGTAAAGCGTCTTAGGCAGTTGCCAAAATTATTTTAAACCTTTAACTCAGTGGCCTCCTGATGTGGAATTAGAAGGAATACAGTGTCTCCTGAAGACACTCAGGAAAGCCAGAACCTTTTGGAATTTTGAGTCAGTGTGTTTCTTGGTAGCAGCTAACTGCAAAGAGCTGAGCAAGTGACCTGATTGTCTCTGAGGTGACTGACTGGTGACAGGGCTATTCCAGTTCCTGGAACATTCCAAACTTAAGGGTTCAGTCATTCAGTGTGATAAATAGACACTGGTCAACTCAGAATCTAAACAGCTATTTTATACTGTATAGTTTCAAAAGTGATTTTGTTTCCCAGCACCTTTGCATATACCCAATGTCACCTAAAAGACTGTAAAATAAACTTATCATGGCCCTGCCTAAATTAGCATAGTCAACCTTTATTGAGTATAAGTGGAAAGTTGTTGTGTTTTGTTTTTATAAATAAGATCTTTTATATAAGGACTATGTTTATTCTTAATTATGCTGCATATTTGTTAAACTCTAAAGAAGTAAAACTTTTGCAGTCTGGTGGGGTAATATTAATGTAACATCCTCAGTGTATAGCACTAGTTGTCACCGAATAAAATTGGGTTTAAGTGTGTTTTATAACCTTTTGGAGTTTTTCCGTTTTGTTATTTTTTAATAGAACTTAATAAAGACATCTAGGTTGATTGTTATCCTTTGTCCTCTGCTATAGCATATCCTTCAAAAAAAAACAAAACTCTTTAGACTTACAAGAAATTATATGCTACAGAGTTCAGATGTGCCTTTGGTGGTGGGGATTGTGTGCCGTCGAGTTTGTTCCAACTCATAGTTACCCTGTATAGGGTTTCCAAGGCTCTAAACCTTTACAGGAGTAGAAAGCTTCCCTTTCTCCTGGTGTACCGGTACTTGCCTTATTAATAGCATCTTACATAGCCAGAGTAAATTTTCAAAATCAAGAAATTGACATTGATACAATACTAGTAACTAAACTACAAATCTGGATTTTACATGAACTCTTTTTATTTGCTTTTTGGTGCGTATTTCTTTGAAATTTTACACTTACTGTGGGTGCGTGTAACCACCACCACCATAATCAATACAGAACCATTCTAGCACCATAAAGAACCTTGCTACCCCCTTAAAACCATAACCTCCCTCCAGCCATAACCCTTGGTAACCAGTGATCTGATCTTTGTTATTTTGAGATTTTTATATGCTACATGAATATGAAGTACTGGTGTAGCACTATAGGATAAGCACTGGACTATAAGGTCAGTTTGAACTGCTAGGTTGGTGGTTCAAACTCATCAGCCGCTCCTTGGAAACCCTATGCAGGGTTGCTATGAGTCAGAACTGACTGAATGGCACTTAACAGCATCAGTATAGTATATGCTATATGGAATTACGGAGTCCTGGTGTGGAGTTGCAGGATAATGTGTTGGACTGCAAGGTCGGTTTGAACTGCAAGGTGTGCGGTTCAAATCCACCAATTAATCCTTGGAAATCCCATACAGGATTGCTGTGGTTCATAACTGACTCAATGGCACGTAATATCAACAATAATATGGAATTACATATTATGTAACTTTTCAAAATCTTTTTTTCCTCTATAACTAATACCCTTGAGACCCATCCACGTTGTTAATGTATCAATAGCTCATTCCTTTTATCCCCACCTTTAAAAAATTTAAGCTTTAAATGATTATTTCTGAATGTGTAAGTGAAAAAGCCTCCCTTCCACCCTCTAATCAAGCTCCTACTAAACCCCTTCCTGGTTAATATAAATCAACAATTACTCCAAACTCACTTGCCCTCTGCCTATTGTCCTATGCTGTCCCACAGAAGTAAGATAAGACATGAATCTTGCTTCTCGCTAGCTGGAAAGACAAGGGAAGTCAGAGATTCACCCTGAAACAGCTGTACGACAGTGTATGATGAAAAGCCAAAATGAGTGCTCCATACTTAAAAGGGCCAGAGCAGTGTTACTAATCATTTCCATTTTGGACTTACTATATGCTCACTGGAGTCTGTGCTAAGCTCTTCACATGCTTTTCATTTCAGCTCCTGGCTCACTAGTTGTTGATTGTTATCCTCTTGGATGAGGGAGCAGCCTTAGGGAAGTAACTTACCCAAGTAAGATTGAAAATAACTCCAGAACCCAAGTTTTTATTAAGCCATTGAGATATAGCTTCTCTGAGGCCCAAGGAAATCAAGAAATAGACATTGAGCTGTATGATCTTAAATACAGCTAGTCCTCAGTTTACAATAGGGCTCTGTTCTGACACTGAATTTTTTTCTTCAGTATTGCTAACTTTTATTATCAGTATCTATAAATACAATCTTTATTTGCCTTTGGGAGTTAGGAAGATTACATAAAAATTCACAGTTGTATACTACACTAATCATAAGAATTTATACCCACCACGACTTGATGGCACATAACAATAACTAAAGAGTTGGATGACAACATTCTGTCAGTTATAATAATTCCAATTGTGGAAGGTCCTAAATCATCTGCATTATCAATAGGAATGGTGTTTCTAGTCATAAAATTGGTAAGAATTGTCTGGTCCTTTTCTGATTTTCCTTTGTATATTTCACTACTTCCTGAATCTGCCTATTGACCAGCAATGTGGTCAGTGTTTGGGTCCACGTTTTCAAGGAACTGAAACCCCTGATTTAATTTAGAAAACAATTTATGGAAGTATCTTGAACAATAAATCATAAAATGGAGCATCTGCAAATATATAGTACATGTTACTAATGATATGAAAACAAAAATTGAGTCATTGTGCTTCATCATAACTTGAATACGTTGTACGTTGAGGACTACTCCAGCCAAATACTGCATTGTCTGTCCTCTAAACTTTCCCATCTTTTTCCTCCAAGTAGGAGTGTTCTTGCGCTTTAGCCAAGACCTGAGCAAGTTTACAGAACTTAAATCCTGAAGTCAGTTACCCTAGCTATGTTAATGTTTAAGGGTTCATTTCAATTATTTTATATCATGATAAGCTAGTACTAATGCATCAGACTGCAAAGTCATTTGAACTGCAAGGTCGGAGGTTCGCTGCTCCTTGGAAACCCAGTCAAGGCCGCTAAGGGTTGGAGTCGACTTAGCAGCACTTAACAACAACAACAAAGCTGGAACTGACTCCTCACTATAAAGGCTCCAGGAAACTAGAGAAACAAAAGTGCCTTCTATGCCCTTGTTTTTCTTGGCATTACTCACTAGTACAGAACTCCTAGCCTCTTAGATGAACTCTGAGGTCTTTGTGCCTGCAAAATAAGTTTGATAATTCTTAATTATCTGGTCCTGCTATAACAGAAATACTGGAAGTTGGTGGCTTTAACAAATTTACTCTCTCACAGTTTAGATGACTAGATGTTTGAATTCAGAGTACTGCCTCTGGGGCAAGTCCTTGACTCATTTCAGCATCTGTAGGCCAAGCATTCCTTGGAGCTCTCCATGTGTCTCCACATAAACCTTTCCGAGGCTCTAGGAGCTTCGCAGTGCAGGGACCGTGGGTCTAAAGGACACACTCCACTCCTGGCTCGTCTTTCGTGGTGGTAGTCTTTCTCTGCTCACGCTCACCTCTCTGTTGCATGCCACACCCCTGGGGATCTCTCATACATCAGATGAAGGTTGTGGTGTGACTAAGAATGGTCTGTATAATAAATGCTGGACTGTGAACCAAAACATTGGCAGTTCACACTCACCAGCCACTCAGCTTGAGAAAGATGAGACTTTCTGTTCCCACAAAGATTTACTGACTCAGTGGCAGAACACAGCAACAATTCCTTCCTTAATCCTCCTATTGGCTTATCACATCAGATTGCTTCATGGGGATCATCACATAACTGTCAAACCGCTGAGAAGCACGGGCAAGCCACACTGACACATCTGTTTTTGGGGAACACAGTTCAATCCATGACACTCAGGTTTGCAGATGGCCGTAGTTTTCAAAGTGCTTTCTTACATTCTTTCTTATAAACCTTATTGGAAATAAACAACCATACATGTTGTTTTTTGTATATATGGCAGGCCTAAGCAATCCATTTTTATAGATAAAATTGATACAAATGAGTATAACTGGGCTAATGTCATATAACTAATGACCAGTATACCAGCCCAAGGTCCTTCCATAGTAGCAGCCATTTCTTACCTACATCAGCATATCATTGAACAGATCTACAGTGTTGATTCTGCTAGACACTGAGATAGATGCTGAGCAAAGGTAACATAAAAGATAGACCCACCCTGTAGAAATGCAATCTAATGAAAAGAGGAAGAAAAACTTAACAAACATTAGCAATACACTCAGATCAGACTACAGGAGAAATGGAGAGAAGGGTTAGTCTTAGAACATTCTGGAGGGATAATGACATTTTTCTAGAAGCAGGAGAAATAGGGACTAAAAGGGGAGACGGTCTTTCAGATAGAGGCAACACCTCTGAAAGCATAGTTATAACCCTGAAGATAGCACTAAAAGGACTAAGGTGGTCCTGACCCAAGCCATGGTATTTTCTATCACCTCATATGCATGTAAAAGTTGGATGATATATGAGGAATATCACAGAAAAATCAATGCACTTGAATTATGGTGTTGGAGAAGAATATTGAAAGTACCATGGACTGCAAGAGCAAACATCTGTCTTGGCAGTACAGCCCTAATACTCCTTAGAAGTGTGTATGCCAAGACTTCATCTCCCATACTTTGGACATGTTGTCAGGAGGGACCAGTCCCTGGAGAAGGTCATCATGCTTGATACAGTGGAGGGTCAGTGAAGAAGAGAAAGACCCCAATGAGATGGACTGACATAATGGCAACAACAGTGGGTGCAAACATGGAAACAACTCTGAAGATGGCACCTAACAGCAACGGCATTGGAGAAAGGAACCAAAAGTAGAAAAGAGAGAAAAAACACAAAGACTGAATTAAGAGTCATCAAAAACTGGGTTCTTGTTGCTGCTGTACTCCAAACTCTGTGATGCTGGATGAGTCACCTCATGTCACTAAGCCTC